CATGGTTGAGTCAGCAGCACAACCTTGCTTTACACTCTTCCAACTAACTGCCCCTCAATTGAATTTGAACACATATCCAGATGTAGATCTCCTGGCATCTGGATCCGATTGAAAATTAGAATCCGTATATTTGACTGGAACCAGATCATCACCTCCATAAACGAGCATGAGACTCTAAGTTCTTCTAAGGTATTTTAAGATATTCTTCACAGCTTACCAATGATCAAGTCCAGGATTAGACTGATATCTACTGACAATCCCTACAGAGTAGCAGATGTCTGGTCTAGTACAGACCATGGTATACATGAGACTACCAACTACCGAAGCATATGGTATCCGCCTCATTAGCTCAATTTCTTTATCAGTCTTTGGAGACTGGGCATTGGAAAGAGCCAATCCGTGTCTAAATGGTAAAAACCCTTTCTTAGAGTTTTCCATTCCAAACCTGGTCAGAACTTTGTCAATGTAAGACTCTTGAGACAAGCCTATTTTCTTTTTAACCCGATCTCGCAAAAGGTTGATCCTAAGAATATAGCTTGCTTCTCCAAGATCTTTTATCTCAAATTTATTGAACAACCACCTTTTAACTGATGACAAAGCCTTTACATCATTACCAATGAGTAAGATGTCATCAACATATAAAATGAGAATCATGATGACATTACCCTGTTTTTTCTTGTAAACGCAAGGTTCAAATACGTTTTGTTCAAAGTCAAATAATTTGACTACCTAATCAAAACAAATGTTCCATGTGCGTGAAGCTTGCTTAAGTCTATAAATAGATCTATTCAACTTACACACACAGTCCTCACGACCTTTAACCATGAAATCATCTGGTTGCTTCATGTAGATGTCTTATTCAAGATAGCCATTTAAAAATGTCGTCTTAATATCCATCTACCATATCTCATAGTCATAATGAGCACTAATGGCCAAAAGAATGCGAATAGATTTAAGCATTGCAACTGGTGAGAATGTATCCTCATAATCAATACCTTTATATTGAGTGAAGCCTTTGGCAACCAGTCTAGCTTTGAATGTCTCAACATTCCCATCCATTCATCTCTTTCGTTTGTAGATCCACTTACAACCAATGGGCTGAACCCCACTAGGAAGTTCTAAAATTTCCCAGACTTTGTTAGAATATATAGATTCTAACTCTGATTTCATGGCATCTTTTCAACGATTCGTATCTATATCGGTCAACGCTTCCGCATAGCTTACTGAGTCCAACTCATGCTTATCGGGTACGGCCTCATAGACCTCACCCCAAAGCGTTAGTTTGTCGGGTTGGATGATAGTCCTCCCACTACGACGAAGGACCGGTGTAGGAATCGATGTACTAGATGATGGTATATCAACAGGGACTTCTTATGTCTCATCATTCTCAGTATTTATATTAGGTGTGTCCATGGGGGGTATATTTGATGTGCCAACCATCTCCTTTAACATTATTTGGCTACTAGGTCTGTGGTTCATAATATAATTTTCCTCTAGGTAAACAGCATGAGTGCTGACAATAGCCTTATTGTCCTTGGGATCATAAAATAATCCACTTCTAGTGCCCTTAGGATAGCCAACAAATAAGCATGCATCTGATCTTATTTCCAACTTGTTTGCCTGTTTCTTACGCATGTGTGCTGGACACCCCTATATATGCATGTGATTTAAACTAGGTTTCTGTCCAAACCACAAATCATATGGTCTTTCTGAAACAGACTTGGATGGAACACAGTTCAAGATGTACATTGCTGATTCTAAGGCTAATCCCCAAAATGATAGATATAATGTAGCAAAACTCATCATAGATCTAATCATGTTAGGTAAAGTTTTGTTTCTCCTTTCTGCCACTCCATTCTGCTGGGGGCAGTCAGGTGCGGATAACTGGCGCACAATATCCTCATTGCCCATATGATCCTTGAACTCTCCCAAGAGGTATTCACCTCCTCGATCAGATTAAAGTATTTTGATAAGTTTACCTAATCTACGCTCTATTTCCGCCTGAAACTCACGGAATTTTCCATAAGATTCAGACTTGTGTCGCATTAGGTAAATATATCCAAAACGTGAATAATCATCAATGAAAGTGATGAAGTACTCAAACCCTTCTCTCGTTTGGGTGTTCATAGGACCACACACGTTTGTGTGCACCAACTCTAATTATTTTTTGGCTTTATATCCTTTGGCTAAAAAAGCGCTTTGAGTCATCTTTCCTTCAATACAGGAATCACAAGTTGGCATAGGCTCCTCTGCCTCACAAGGTAATAAACCTTCTTTAACTAACCTTTGAATCCTATTTTGATTGATGTGATCCAATCGTAGATGCCAATAATACAATGAGTTTGGAGAAACTGCTTTTCTTTTAACATTCAATATAGATGAAGTTGCATTTAATTCATAATTTTGCATTTGATATGATCTAGGAGTTAAAATATATAGACTATCTTTTAATGCACTAGAAGTTATAACACAACCATTTAATTTAAATAAAACATTTTTCCCAAAAGTAAAAATATAGTTTTTGCAAACCAACGAAGAAATTGAAATTAAATTGCGCCTAACATTTGGCGCATAAAGACAATTTTCTAAAATAAGACTCCTCCCACTATCAAACTGCATATGAACCACTCCTACTGCTTTAGCTTCCACCTTGGTATTAGATCCCATATGCAAGTATATCTTTCCTTCATTGAGGCTTCTGGACTACTGGAATCCTTGCAATGAATTGCAAACATGATTAGTGGCTCCAGAATCTATGCACCAGGAATCTATAGATTCAACCACATTACATGCCTCAACAATGAATATACCTTTTCCTTTCCCTTGCGTGCGAAGTGTTGGGTAGTTAGGTTTTCAGTGACCTAGTTGACCGCAATGGAAGCAGTTTCATTCGCTTTCAACCCACACTTTCTTCTTTCCTTTATCCTTTTGAATCACTTTGGTTGGCATAAGCACAGTTTGGGCACCATCATTCTTCTTCTTTTTGCCCCTCCTCTTGGGCTTAGAAGTGGATGGTCCAGCAGATTGATTGTAGTTGACAGATGCACCCTTACTTTTGATTATCCCTTCAAAGGTTACCAACTCATTCAAAAGTTCAGCGAGTGAGTACTCAAGCTTATTCGTCGAATAATTAACCCTAAAAGAGTTGAGTGAGTCTAGCAATGAAGCGATAATCATGTCAACCTGAAGTTCACTATCCAAGTTGCATCCAAGGATCTTAAGTTCATTTAGAAAACCAATCATTTTTAAAGCATGATCTTGAACTGGAGTACCTTGGACCATCTTGGTGGTCATCAAGTTTGTCATAGTAGTTTGGCGTGCACTCTTACCAACTTGCCCAAACATTTCCTTGAGGTTAAGCATGATGTCTGCAGAAGTGAGATAATGAAGATGTTGACTTTGGAGTACATTCGAGAGTGAAGCAAGAATGTAGCACCTAGTCATCTCATCTACTTTATTACACTTCTTAAAAACTTCATACTCCTCAGGAGGATCCTCGGGCAAAGGTGGAAAAGGTCGGGGAGTCTTAAGCACATAATTGAACCCCTCATATATGAGTACAATATCTAGTTGCCTTTTCCAATCGATATAATTAGGTTGAGTTAATCGATTTTCTTTTAGTATGATTGCAAGTGGACTGAATGGACTAGTCATGATAAATCTGAAAAATAAAAGCATTCGTACAATAAATAAGGTGAATAAAAATAATCATGCAAAATAAAATAATTAATTAATCGTGGGTCCCTTAACCACATTGCATGAAAAATCAGACAATCAATATGCCAATAACTTATCCGATTGGCGGAATTCATTATTACTTATTGACAAGAAAAACTCATTATTTTCATATCTCTTTAGACAATGCCTTATCTTTATATAAAATAATTCTCGATTATGTTTAGCCTTTCTAAAATCACCTAGTATAGACCACTCCATTGGGAATCTAATACTATTGATTTTAGATTGAGTGTATAACGTAATTAATGCTCTAACGAAAAATCAAATATTAAATATATTGCCATTATCAGTTTAGATTCTTTAAATCATGCGTATGACCTTATTTTTAAAAATCTAACTATAATGGACATTTAATAAATATATTTTCGTGAGACAACCATTCCTGTAATCTAGACTCTTTAAATCATGCGTGGGGCCTTATTTTTAAAGATCTAATCACAGTGGTTATAATAACGAAGGCATTGGGGTAATGTATAAAAATGCCCACTCCCACTTAATTTTTAATTATTTATAATTAGGGTTTTTAATTTATGATTTAATGCATGCAAAACACCATTATTTTAATCCAATTAAATTTAGAAAATATCTAGATTTTAAATGATTCACTAATATTTAAGTTGAGGCATACTTCTTCAAAAAATTTACAAAAATAATTTTTCGTTTCCCAATAAGTGCTCTCTAATTAATTAGTAATTAAATCCAATTAATTTTCATAATTTAATTAATATAAATCAAGTCATTTAGATAAAAATCATGAATCCAATGCATGAACAATAATAATTAATAATTAATTATTCCATGCATCACATCAATAATTAAATAATAGCCAGAAACAAATTAAATGGCCAATGGAATCAGCTTTTAACATTTAAATACTATTCTTGCTATACGGGTGTCCTCCAACAGTCTGTAAACATCTATAGGAAGTTGGTACGCGCTAGGAAAATCAAAACAACGCTTGGAACGCGCCCGGAGGACCCCACACACGCTGGCACAGGCCTAGGGAGTGCAGCAGCGCGTGGCACGCGCCTTCACGCGCTGGCACTTGCTTGGGAGGTGCTGTGGCGTGTGGCACGTGTAGGGACGCGCCTGCATGCGCGTGGAGTGATGATGGCTTGGTCTGGCGTGTGCTCCTCATCCGCCAGCAAGCCCCTTGTCTCTGGCGCGTGCTCCTCATAAGCCAACAAGCCCCTTGTCTCTGGCGCGTGCTCCTCATGCGCCAGATTGCTCCTTCTCTCTGGCACGTGAGGTGTGCTCCTCATGCGGCAGATTGCTCTTTGGCGCGAAGCACTGGATCCCAGCCTCCTCCGGCTCCTCTTCTCGCCGCTGGTGATGTTCCGGTCGCTGAAAAGTCCAAAAAATTAATAAAAATCCCTAAAAAATTCTAGAAAAATCCAAAAAGAAATTCCAGAAAATTCCAAGGACCTTATTAAATATTTTTGGACCTTTCTAAAACTTCATAGTACCAATTGATGAAGATTACATGGCTTTGAAATTAACTACAATTTGGAATACAATGAAAAAAAAAAAAATTACATCATTGAATTTTCAAACGGCTAAATCAAAGCCTTAATTACATTCATCCAAAGATAAAATTACATTCAATAAACCTATAAGCTTCATCCACGGCCCAAATATCCATCATCATCCATTCACAATTATATATACATCATCATGTATCAATATATATCAACATAATAAATCATACATCAACATACATCAATAAATATATATATGCATATATAATTTGGATTCATGAATGATGATTTTGATAAAAAAACGTGATATCAAGTAATGAATCAAACCATGCTCTGATACCACTGATGGGAAACATGCAAGTTTTAAAAACTTTTTGAGGGATTTTCATACATAGCTCTTGATTCATCACATAGAGACAAGTTTTATGCATAAATAAAATATGATGTATCATTTAATTAATAGATTGAATACTTACATCAAAGGTCTGAGTAAACCTTTAAATCTTTCCTCTAAAGTGAATGTTCTCACTTATTGTAGATTCCTTAGCAAGATCATTTCTCCTTCTTCTTGATGGTAATTTTCCCTTTAGGAATCACCAATATGCCTCGATGAATGACCTTGGAGTCGAGGCTTGTGGTTGCTTCCTTTAGAAGAGATAACAAATCCTAAAAACTACAGAGAGAAAATATATTTCCTTTTCTTCTTCTCAAAATCATACCTAAAATATACATGGACCCATGTATATATAGGCAAAATAAAAATAAGAAAAAGAAACAATAAATCCTTCTCCATCTCTAACTCAAATATTTCAATTCTAATAGGACTCCAATATCAATTTGGGCTATGGGTGAGAATTCTTTGGGCTTACTATTTTCTTGGCTACTATAAATTAATAATTGGTCTGTTCCATTAAATCATGGACTCAATTCAATTAATTCATAAATTAATTTCTACTCCACTAAAAGAAATTAATTGCACTCCAATTAAATAGTAAATAGCCTCTAAGTCAATGTTGCACTTTAACGTCTCTATGCATAATTATTTATCGGATAATAAAGCCATCAATCCGACAACATAATTAATATAATTATTTTGTTACCTTTGATTATTACCGGCTTGATCACAATAAAATATTTGTTTGACAAAAATAATAATTTACTAAATAAATATATATAGAAAATATTTTGTCTAAAACATAGAAAGGTTTTCGAATTTAATTTGTTATCAACCATAATCAATACAAAATAAATATAAGTAGTACTGATGCAAATATTAAGAATATAACCCTCTAAGTATTAATTACATAACTATCCAAAGTGTCGGTTTCAAGTTCCCGAAGTATCTATCGAACAAATTAAAGTAATTATTAATTAATAAAAGAGTCTATACTTCTCTCATGCTTGAGATTCAAAAGTCATGACCGTGACAGAGAGCAATTGCATACGACGGCTCTCGCAATATATCTCAACCTACCGTGGATTCGGTTCAAGTCTTAATTAATTAAATGTCGATCCGTAATTACTGACTTTGAACCATTTATGATTACTAATTTATAACTTAGTATTAATTGCCATTACATATATATATAAATTATATCTTGTAATCAAGTGAACACAATCAATTCCATAATGAATCAAAATAATACATTCCATTCACCAATTGTATAATGCCTTAATAATAATATTCAGATAAGGAACCATGACTTTTACAATCCAAATAAGAATTTGCTATGCTAGGGCACACATATCCCAACAGGTGTATCAATTATTTTAAAGTTGAGTCGTTGCATTATTAAATTTATTTGAATTCAAGAAAACTACTCTTTTAATGGTAGAGAATAAGACTTTATGATTTATTTGAACTCAAGAAAACTATTCTCTTAATGGTAGAGAATAAGACTATCAAGAGACGTTTCTCGTTATAAGACTCATGAAGCCACACTAAATTGATAAAAGTTTCAAGATATGTGAAGAGTCTTCTTCTCTTGTTTTTCTCTTTTTTTCCAATTCAATAATTGATTGCATGGCGTATCAGTTATTTTTAAGTTGAGTCGTTGCATTATTAAATTTCTTTAAATTTATGTATTTCATAGTCATGTATGTGCATATTAAAGGGGAGTTAGTTGGCCCCCGTCCAACTTATACATACTCCTTAGAGGAAAGGGGAAAAAAAAAAAAAAAAAAATCTCTTGAGTATTACCACTTAATTGTTCCATTTCGAAGTAAAATTACTAAAAGGGAGCAAAACTAACAACAAAGTAGGAGTGCCAATTCGTGTTGGCGTGTCATCTTTGTGTGCCGTGTTAGGATAGACAATCTTGTATGAGTGTCATAGTTCGTCGTATTGTTCGATACGCGACTCGTATAGGCCAGTTTACACTTACCTTGTCTGAGTCTGTTATACCGCAACTGATACCGATACTGCGAATCATGATGAGTGTGGGTGTCTGGGTGATGAGTATCTTGTTACATGGATTGACATGAACTCGACACAATTATTACATGACAAGATTCGCGTAAAGTGTATAATAAATGGGTTAAGACTTCGACACGACACGATGAGACATATTTAAGCTATTTCTGACAAGAACATGACATGTTTAGCTAAACAGATGATATTTGACACGAACACAATAAGTAGTTAATTGAATTATAAACGGATTGATGAATCAAATACGAACACGACACGATTAATTATCATGTCAATTCAAGTCGAAACGATTATAGCCTTGACATGATTAAGTCAAACCTAAATACACTTATCTCATGTCGTGCTAATATGTCGTGTCAAGCATTGTCACCCCCACTATAAACGTTTTCAGACCTGCAAAGGTTCTTAGTTGCACTAAGTGTAACTCGTCACTTAAGCTATGTTTGGTATAATAAGAGGAAAAATAAAAGAAATAATAACATTAGTTAAGATATAAAAAAGAAGAAGAAATGAAATGATAGTGTTAATCTTTCGTCATGTTTGATTGATTAATGAGGGAAAAAAAGAAAAAATTAAATAAAACAACACTCTTAGTACTTAATGTTGGGAAAAGAAAGAAAATAAAATTATTTTAATAAATTTACTACAATATCTTTTCACGATTAAGAGACAAATATTTAAATAACAAGTGATAATACAAATATAAAGATTGTGCTAAAAATCATTAATCAAGCTGAAATAACAATTTGAAAACCACGAAAATAACAATTTGAAAAGCAAGAAAAGATTGAAGAGAATAAAAACATGTCCGATGACTCATGATATTTTGATTTTGCCTTCATAAAATAAGAGCAAAATCGGTATTAAAGTTTTTAACTCTTTGCTTTCGGTTCCTTGCCTTATTTAAAGGATAACAAAACCTACTCATGTCATCATGATGACTGTCGTTTTATTCACTCATAAATACAATAAATATATCAGGGCTTTCCATTGACCATTGATGGCTTTGTTCTATGTATCATTTATTGTTGATTGCAGTGGGTAGTTTGAGTTCTTAACTGCCATTATATGCGGTGAGGTGCGGTGAGGGCAGAATCAAATGCCATTAATGAATGCATAGTGAAACGTGGAGCTAATGCTTATATAACTATTAGTTTTAGGATTTTGAAGCACATTAAATTACTTTACCCAGAAAAAATTGCACCATTAATTGAGTGCCTTTATCGATGTCTTGTCTTGTTTTGTAGTTGTAGCTATACATAATTAAATTAATTAAAGTTTAGTGGATCCTACCTTCTGTCATCTTTGGTATTGCCCATAATCACTCATTCAATTCCAAACATTTTTGGTTTTGCTATTATTTGAATTGGTTGAGGGTGGGCCTGGTGATAAAGTTGTTTCAGGTGATTTGGAGGCTGTGGATTCTATATAAAAAGAAAAAAAAAAAAAAAGAAAGTAATATACTATAGCTGACTTTGTGACAATTTGGGATGACAAATGGACGATTTGCCACCCCACCCCTTCACTTGGATTCAATATAAAAAGAAAAAAAAAAAAATGTAATTTACCATAGATAGCTGACTTTGTGACTAATGATAATCAGTGAGTCATGACAACGGGGGCTATTTGGGATGAGGAATACCATCCCCCACCCTCCACCCACTTGGATTTAATATAAAAAGAAAAAAAAACGTAATTTATAATTATCGAAAAAAAAAAATGTAATTTACGATAGATAGCTGACTTTGTGACTAATAATAAGAGCCTGTGAGCGGTGACAACGAGCCAAGTACCTTTTTTTTTTATTGTGTGTTTGGCCTATAAAAATAATGAAATTGGATGATCGTGTCAGGAACTGTAGTAATTTCGAAGAGAGATTCAAACATTTCTCAAAGGGAGGTTAGGGTGTCGAACCTCAGTGGAAGCAGCGTGTGTGAGTCATAACTAGGGAAAAAAAAATAATATTTCAGATGGAAGACTGTGAAACTAGGCGACTCTGATGAGGTATAGAATGAACACCTCAGGGTTCTTTTTGCCTCTGAGAAAGGACTTCGGGATAGTTAACTGGTTAGGATGAACTACGTTACTTATGAAAGTAAATGAATTGACTGTAAAATTATCTACTGAAAAGTAAAGTGCAGGACTAAGACTAATTATATTGAAAGTGCATTGCAAAGATTGTATTGAAATGCGTGTTTGGTTTGGCGTTGAGCAGCCCTATTACGTTACAACATAATGATCTATTTATACAATGAAAATATAACAGTTAACATAACAGTTCTAGGCAGTTCCATTTTGCCTTCAAATGTTCCTAACTGGTTTGGATATCTCTACGCCATGTGTCCCACTATTC